TCCGTCTAGTCAAGGCTATGGCTTTTCCAGTGGTCATGTACGGATGTGAGAGATGGACTATAAAAAAAGCTGAGTGCCAAATAACTGATGCTTTTGAACTGTGGTGTTGGAGAAGACTCTTGAGAGTCCCTTGGACTGCAAGGAGATCCAACCAGTCCATCCTAAAGCTCAGTCTTGGGTGTTCACTGGAAGGACTGATGTCAAACCTGAAACTCCAATACTTTGGCCTCGTAATGGGAAGAGCTGACTCATTTGTAAAGACCCTGACGCTGGGAAAGATTGAGGGCAGGAGGAGAAAGGGACGACAGAGGGTGAGATAGCTGGATGGCATTACCGACACAACGGACATGGGTTTGGGTGGACTCCGGGAGTTGGTGAGGGACAGGGAGGCCTGGAGTGCTGTGGTTCATGGGGTCACAAAGAGTTGAGACACAACTGAGGGACTGAACTGAACTGAGAACCCTTAGGGAAAGAGTCTCACCATCATTCCTGCAGGAGTCTCCTGTCTACACTTCAGAGAGATAACATAGTGCTGCATGACTATCGCTTCTCTTTATGTTACACCAGTAGAGTATGTTAACGACTGCTACGCTTCCTATGCATTGTTTTTAACACTTAAGTCATTTAAACATAATTACGTGCACAGTCCTTACATGAGATCCTTTCAGTCTTTTATCTCTGCCTGATCTATTAATTAGTGGGCCTATTCTTCTAATGTAATAGGGAACAATAGTGTATCTGTTAATTGAAAACGTTGGTTTTAAAATAAAATCATTTAAAATTCAAACATCTTAAATGTTTCACTTTAATTAAAAATATTATAAATTACAATAGTTCACTATTTTGAATTCACTATTCACTAAAGCTCCAACATCTTGAGTTCTTCTGATTATCTGGAAAATAATCTGTGTACAGGAACCACGTAAATTTTAAACTTTTTCAATTGTTTTACAACTATTTCACTCACTTTGAATTCTCTAATTTGTGTGTGTGCGTGTGCTAAAGCAACTTGTTTTTCCCAGACATTTAACTTTCTTTTCCTAAAAAAGCACAAATCTCTTTCTGGGCCCTTACATTTCACTGGTTTACAAAATATTAACTTGAGAAATTATAATAAAAATAACTACCATAAACAGTTTAAGCCTACAACTAAAGAAGTGGGAACAAAATCAAAACGTTAACAAGAATAACCAACACTGGTAAGACTTACTACGAGCATTCACTATGTGCCAGTGCTGGTCGACACAGCTTACTCATGTCTACACACTTAGCCTTCAAAACACTCCTGTGAGGTAATCTATTACCCCTATTTGACAGAACAGCAGAGTATGCTTGAGACCAGGAGGCAGGAAGTGGGAAGGGGGGAGGAGTGTGGAGAAGAGGAGGTAGGAAGAGAGAGAGGGGGGAACCAATGACTGACCTCGTGCACCAGTCATGCTACTGTCCTATATGGGGACTGATAAATCGTGACAACAGCCAACTCACTGTTATACTGGAAAACAATTTTGACCTCATGACTCCCTTAAAGGGCCCTGGAAACGCCCAGAGGACCACAGACCATACTGTGATAATCACTGCAATTAGATAGAGACTCTAAGCATCCAAGAGAATATTCAGCCAAGATTACCTTCAAAGTAAAGACCTACAGCAACAAAGTTACTGTGAAAAACCAAAGCTTAAAATTCTTAACAGCTCAAAATCTCTTAAGGTTAAAATTAAATCTTAAATTAAAAATTTCACAGGATATATGCTCCACACTGCCTAAACCATCTTTGGGAATGGAGCACATTATTAAATGGCCTCTTAATTTTATGACATAACTTGCAGCACACACTAGTTGAAGGACAAAGGTGCCTGCCAGAAAAAAGGGAATTTGTCAGACAGAGGTCACCCAGATCCTTCAGTGTCTCACAGGGTTAGCAGGGGAGCAGTATAATAAAAATACCACTCCCAATGAATTCCTGAAAGGATAATTAACAGAGAAGAGAAGAAGAAAGGTAAGGAAAATACCTTCCCTACGTTATGACACCAATGGCCAGGGCCCAAGCTAATATACAAAAGCAGTACAATGCAGTGATGGCACTTGCACACACTGTATGACTGCTTTCTGCAAATATGTGCAAACATACAAATGACATAACTTTCTACTTATTACAAGTTTTAAACATACCTGAAATTCTCATCTTACAGTTCACATATAACTCAAAGTATCTCTGTTAGGTACTAGGACAGAATACTAATATGAGAGCCTTTGATTCTTCACTAAAATTTTAACATACTAGTATTCTCACTGGCTTGATTTTCTAATATCTGAAGACTAACGAGTATGTCAAAGGTAAATTTCAGCTAATGAGTCAATGTGTTACACTCTCTGTATCAGAGAGATGCACATTCAGACTGTGTATTTTTATTCTGGCTTAGATTAATGAAATAATTTAAGGTAATTCATGTACCTGAATATATAGGCACTTTATATTATAATTAGCTCAACATTTTATTAAAGGATATTTTAATTCAATAAAAGATGAACTGGGATGATGATGTTATTATTTTCATTAAATTATTCCCTCACAATAAAAGTAACAATGCTTTCACTTATCATTTCTTTACCAAGGAAAATCTGAATTCTCCACATCAAAAATCTAAAATATAGGCCCTCTAAAACAACACTAGTCTACGTGAAAATTTTCTTCCAAAAGCTGATCCAGAATAAGTGGACAAGTGGACTGTTTTCCACAAGTTTATGTTTCTTCTTACAGACGTCCAAATTATATTTACTTGATACTAGATAACATTATTGATGACTAAATTAGACACTAACACAGGTTTCAAGGATAGAATTCAATATCTAGCATTCATGATAAAATCTGGTATTTGTTAATTACACAAAAAGTGAAGGACTCTGTAACAGCATCGACTAACTCACCAGTCCTGAGGCATCAGCTTAAGGGGCTGGTCGACCACTCTGTAAGGAACTGTGACACTAATGGCAGTACCACCTGGTTGCATCTGGTCTTTTCTTCTCTGAATTAGAGTTTCATTTTCTCGTTGGCAGCCTTGTTTCTTCTTTTCATCTGATGGAACAAATCTTTCAAATAATAGGAGACAAAATGATTCCACAACAATCATTAAATGAGAAAAGAACTACTTTGAAATTACTTTTAAAATGATAGTTTTAAACCAAAAACATTATTTTAAATATATGCTCACTCTGCATGTACAGAATATGGGTCTTTCCTTTGCATGCCAAACAGAAGTCAAGCTCACTTACAAGAAGTCAGTGTGTGTGAATCTCACACTCAGACACAATTAGTGTGTGAGAGTGTGACACGATGGTTCCGTATACAACCACACTAATCCTTGATTTCTCAAATGCCAGTAAGAGGGAAATTTTTACTATATATCAAAGATCACTTGAAATGGAGCTGATGTGGCTAGATATAGATAGGTGATTCGATCCATCAAAGAGTGTCACCAAATACCCCTTTCCACACGGTAACCACCATGCCCACAAGACACAGAACATGTGCAACAAACAAGAGGAATTTCCTCCTGCACCCTTCAGTAATCCCTACACTTCTCCCCCAACAGGCAACCACACAACTCTGCTTTCCATCAACACAGGTGACTTCCAGGAATTCATATGTGGAATCACACAGGAATGTACTCTTCCATGCCCGACTTCTTTCATTCGATTTAATGTTTCTGACATTTATCCATGCTGGGGGGGCATACTGGTAGTTCATTCTTTTTTACTGTTGAGCAAAATTCTATTGTATGAATCTGACACAATCTATTTATACATTCTCCTGTGGTACATTTGGGAGGTTCCAAAGTTGGGGTTATTACAAATAAAGCTACTGTAAACACTCTGGTATAAGCCTTTTTATAGACATATGTTTTCATTTCATTCTCTTACATAAATACCTATGAGTGGAACTGTTGGATCGCAGGGTATGTTTAACTTTAAAAGAAACTGTCAAAGTTTTTCAATGTGGAATAAATTATAAAGAACATTCTAAAGGCATCTCTGAGCTAGCTAGCAAGAAGTAAAGAATTCTTGGGCCAGAGAACTGAGTTAAGAATGGACTCAAAAAGGTCAGGATAACACTGCAGACTTCAACCCATGGAAGGCAGTGGCAAACTAATTAAACTTAAGTTTTGTCTTTTACTTTATTTCACTAGACTCTTGGAAGAGGAGACAAAACCCATATTCTGCTCAAGGTAGAGAATCGAACAGAAATTCCTTCTTTCATAAAGTTAGGACTCTGGGGGTTCAGTATAATGTAAACCAGAAATAAACTTACTGCCCACCCGTTTTCCTAACCTCAACTCAGCCCTAACCAACACCCTGACAATTGCAAGAAAAATCAAATCTCAGAATTATAAATTGGACCTCACTTGGATTTAAAGCAAAAATTAACCCTGACCACAGTGGCTGATTCAAAAATACACCTGTTAACACTGTACAAGCCAGGCAAATAGGATTTAATCCCAGGATTTTTGCTGGAATTACTGGAAAATGAGCCCTGTCTCTTTGTGGTGACTGGTAACTTGGGAGTTTCTGATAAGTCAACTTTGCTCCTGAAGGAGGAGAACCTGCCTAAGAGATGGAGACACCAACTCATGCTTATTTCATTTAGCACTGAATTCAACTGTGTCAGAAGCCAGGACTTTTCAGTTCAGTTCAGTTCAGTCTCTCAGAGGTGTCCGACTCTTTGCAACCCCATGAACCACAGCGTGCCAGGCCTCCCTGTCCATCACCAACTCCTGGAGTCCACCCAAACCCATGTCCATTGTGTCGGTAACGCCATCCAATCATCTCATCCTCTGTCGTCCCCTTCTCCTCCTGCCCTCAATCTTTCCCAGCGCCACGGTCTTTTCAAATGAGTTAGCTTTTCACATTACATGGCCAAAGTATTGGAGTTTCAGCTTTGACTTCAGTCCTTCCAGTGAACACCCAAGACTGATCTTTAGGATGGACTGGTTGGATCTCCTTGCAGTCCAAGGGACTCTCAAGTCTTCTCCAACACCACAGTTCAAAAGCATCAATTCTTTGGCACTCAGCTTTCTTTATAGTCCAACTCTCACATCCGTACATGACCACTGGAAAAACCACAGCCTTGACTAGACGGACCTTTGTTGGCAAAGTAACGTCTCTGCTTTTTAATATGCTGTCTAGGCTGGTCATAACTTTCCTTCCAAGGAGCAAGCATCTTTTAATTTCATGGCTGCAATCACCATCTGCAGTGATTTTGGAGCCCCCAAACATAAAGTCAGTCACTGTTTCCCCATCTATTTGCCATGAAGTGATGGGACTGTCAGATGCCATGATCTTAGTTTTCTGAATGTTGAGATTTAAGCCAAAGNGTGAGTGTGAGTGATCACAACTTCATTATTTTCTGGGTCGTGAAGATCTTTTTTGTATAGTTCCTTTGTCTATTCTTGCCCCCTCTTCTTAGTATCTTCTGATTCTGTTAGGTCCATACCGTTTCTGTCCTTTATTGAGCCCATCTTTGCATGAAATGTTCCCCTGGTATCTCTAATTTTTGTGATGAGATCTCTAGTCTTTCCCATTCTGTTGTTTTCCTCTATTTCTTTACATTGATCACTGAGGAAGACTTTCTTATCTCTCCTGGCTATTCTTTGGAACTCTGCATTCAAATGGGTATATCTTTCCTTTTCTCCTTTGCTTTTTGCTTCCCTTCTTTTCACAGCTATTTGTAAGGCCTCCTCAGACAGCCATTTTGCTTTTTTGCATTTCTTTTTCTTGGGGATGGTCTTGATTCCTGTGTCCTGTACAATGTCACAAACCTCCGTCCACAGTTCATCAGGCACTCATTGTCTATCAGATCTAGTCCCTTAAATCTATTTCTCACTTCCACTGTATAGTCATAAGGGATTTGGTTTAGGTCATACCTGAATGGTCTAGTGGTTTTCTCCACTTCCCTCAATTTCAGTCTGAATTTGGCAATAAGGAATTCATGATCTGAGGCACAGTCAGCTCCCAGTCTTGTTTTTTCAGTTATGTTGAGCCAATTATTTTTACATAAAGCTACTTTAAGTTGGTTTTTAATACTTAACACAAAAAGTTATGTAACAAAAACAACCAGAACTGCACAATTACCTGGGTGGGTATGTGCAATCTGGAGAAATATTCTGACATCCACTGACTCTACCATTATTTTTTTTTTTAGGTATTCCACTTAATATTCTATGACTGTGAAGGAACATGGGTAATATGATTAAAGTCACCACTGTTTAAACAAATACAAATCTCTAAAATAATTTCCTTAGTATAATATAAAATGCAAATGAGAGGATATAATTAGACAAATTCCAGATTTGAAGTCTATATTATTTTGAAAAATGAACAATTTTATCAATATTTCCCGATTAAAAATACAGCTTTCCTTTCTCCTAAATAAAGGAAGTTGAAATTTGTGGGGAAAAAATAATTAGCAATAATACCTGGTGTTAAAAAAACCTCAAACCGAGAATTTAAGGTGAAGCTATGTATGTTGGATTGGCTATGCCGCCAGGTGCTTAGCAGACACAAAAGCAGATCTTTGCCCGCCAGCCATGAACTCCACGCAATTCAACAAGGGGCCCTCGCACAGGCTCTCAGCTGAGGTCAAGAACCGGCTCCAGTCCAGAAACGACCCTCAGAAGGAGGTGGAGCTCCGAAGCTGAACTGAGGACTGCCCAGCCTCTCCATTGGCCTGGACTTCCAGAAGGGTCTGAAGGACTGGATCATCCTGGACACATTCATGAATAAACTGCAGCTGGGCTCAATCCCTAAGACCAACCACTCCATGCAGAAGTGGCAGCAGCCAGAAAACCTCTCCAACTTCATCAAGGTCTCGGTCAGCTACAGCATGAACCCCATCAACCTGTTTGAGGCTGACAAACTGTCTGAAAGTGGGAACTTGATGCAGGTGCCTCTTTCTTGCCCTGGCCAGAAATGCCAAGACAAAGTGATGCAGAGTGGCACGGACACTGGCATCAAAAACTCAGAGAAGTAGGGGTGAGACTCTGATGATGCCACCATGAAGGTGGGCCAGTGCGTCATTGGGTTCCTGATGGGCACTGACAAATGTGCCAGCCAGTCGGGCATGACCGCTTCCAGCACCAGATGGCATCCGTACGACCCCAAAAACCATATCCTGCCCCCCTGGGACCACCTGACCGTCAGCCTCCAGATGGGCACCAACAAGTGTGACAGCCAGGTGGGCACAACAGCTCCAGGGACCCGGCAGCACATTTACAACACAAAGCTGGGGACAGACAAACGTGACAATTCCTCCATGTCCCTGAAGGTGGGCTACACGCAGGGTGCCAACCAGAGAGGTCAGGTCTTTGGCCTGGGCTGGCAGATATACTACCCTAAGTACTGTGCTCATGCCCCAGTGGCTGATGGGGCTCCAGCAACTGCAGGAGAGGGCCAGGCCCAGGGGAGCCCTCAGAGTGCCCCCTCTACTACTAGAGGAGGCGGGCTACTGAGACACCCATGCGGGCTGTCTTCCCACATCACTGATCTATCTGGGTTTTTAGGTTTTTCTGTTTTTTGTCTTGTTTTTCTACATGTCAGAGTGCTACCAGGTAAGAGTCTGGGGGAAAGGGGTGAAGGCCATAGCCAGAGGCATGTGGGGTGGAGGTCCCCACCAGGAGCGCTCCAGGCATGAGGTTTCCCAGCAGACTTTTGGGCCAAGCTGTTAGGTTAGGAGGAAAAGGAAACGCAGGCAGGGAGGGGGAACCGGCCCTGAGTAATTTTCGGTTACATCTACCCCACTTCTCTTTTTTCTGCCAATCAGTCTGTGGTTTCTGTATCCACAGAAATTTCAGGCAGTTTTAGTTAATGAAAATACTTTGTTCAGGGGAGTGCGTGTGGGGGGGGGTGGGTGGGCGGCAGATGCTGAGAGGCGGTCAGGCCACAGTCCCAAAATATTTTAGGTCTTGTGGATTTCCCAAGGACCCTCAGATCACATATCCTGGCCCCTCCCACGGGTCCAGTGGGGACACTGAGGCCCTGGCAGAACAGTGGAGTTCTGAGTGCTTGAGACAAAACTGACCCCCGTTCCCTCCAATTGTCCCCACTCCCCCCACCAAGTACTGCATATGGACCCCCACCCAGAGGCCCCCACAAGGATCAGCCCCTGCCCAGGAGCCCTGGGACCAAGAAATAATGTGCAAATACCAACTGTGGACCAAAAGAAATAAAACCTCTTTTGGCGGGGGGGGGGGGGGGGGGCAGCAAATCTTCATTCTGAAACTCAGAGAATTTCTACAAGAAAAAATTCCAAGGAGAACAAACAGAAATTACAAAATGAAAACAAAGAAAACCACTAAATGAACAGTTAAAAAGAAAAATCCCTAAAACACAAGGAAACGAGATATCATGAATGAAACAACAGATAAAAGAAAGCAATTAGTAAGGACTTGCAACGGTGCAGCTATCAAAGACCAAACTTGTGAAACAAGCCTGCAAGTATGTAGAGGAAAAAAGAAATTATTGAAAAAAGGCAAGGGGAAGGGAAGGAGCACCAAAGATTTGAAAAAGAACTAAACAGAACCTCTAAAAAAGAAACAATAAGACATCTGAATTTTAAAATGAATAGACAACATGACACTAGGAGATAGCCAAAGGAACAGACAACTAGAAGTTAAACCTTCAGAAATAATCAAGAATGCAGGTGACAAAGAAACAGAAGGAAAGCAGAACTACATAACAGATATAGATAATGAAATGAGAAAGTCTATAGTATGCCTCATTTAAATCCCAGAAAGAAGAGAGAAAAAAAGGAGAAGAAGTGGGGGGACATAGAGATAATGTCTAAAGAGCCAAGACTTTGTGAACTGATGAAAAACACAAATCCACAGATTCAATTCTGATGAATCCCAAAGAGGGATATGTAAGAAATCTACACCTAGGTATAGCAAATAAACAAGTTTACAATGACCTTTAACAAGAGAAAGCAGATAGCCTTCCAAGTACTGATTATCACAGCTGACCTCTGATCCTCAAAAAAGTAAGCTATTATAGAAAATGGTGCAATAACATCTTCAATGTAATAAGTCAATTCCTATACGGTTTTCCAAAGTGGTTGAACCATTCTGCACTGCTGAGGCATTCACGGTCCAGTGTGAGCTTCCGTCTGCTCTCCTGGCAGCTCTTCCCCAGGCCTTAAGTAGTCCCCCATATACATATGCTGAACGCTGCCTGACTGGTGCGAGGGGAACTCATGGTCTATCTCTGGAGCACTCCCTCTGTGTAATCTCTTCTCATTGCAACTCTGTCCTATGCAAGGGCCATCATGGCCAGAATCACAAGCCCCATCCAACCAGTTTATTTTAAATAAGCTCATGGTCCCAGAGAAACTTCTCTCAAGATCATGTTTATAAATGTCAATGCTCTTCTTAATACTTCCATAAGAGAACCTTGATCTTGTTACTTAGAATGTTAAAGGTGAGGGCAGGATTTATTTTGTCTTATTTCATTTACTTATTGAAGGGTTAGAAAACTGAAGAATCCTCAGTTTTACATGAAACCAAACAGAATCTATGACAACATGAACTATGGGATACAGCCAGTACTATAATTGTGTGGAGGAGGTTTCAATTATGCATTAATTACATAGCAAAGCCTCAAGCTGACTCAAGCTGTAGGGGAGATGTCAGTTGCAATGAGGTGTTAAACAATGAAGGGAGTGTTTTAAACTTAGAAGAAAAATAAGGCATGATCTATCCAAAGAAGGTAATCTGTTAAAATTGTTTGCTTTCTTGGTAGGAAGGCTAAGGAAAAAGGTGCTAAAATTTAGTTTGTGACTTCTATGCACTACTTACTACTTTTAATATTTTAATTATTATCAAATCTATTTCAAGAGGTGGGCAAAAACAATTATATTTCATTTTTGCCCAGCTGTAGACTACTTGAGGAACTGTATATTATTCAGTAATCCACAGCACTGTCTCAATATTAAACTCCATGAAAAAAAAAAGCCTAATATGAGGAAATAAAACCTAAAAATTCCTTCTTTCCATATTGTTATTGGAAAAAAGGTCATTGAAAATTTTACTCGTAAGTATTAAAGAAAAAATACTATACAGATACACTTGCACATGCCAGTTACATAGGATTTTTATTCAGCTATTTAAGTCACAGGCATTTAAAATTCAATTCTGCATCTATTAAAACCTAGAGTCAGTAAGTATTACAACTTATTTTGCTACTCATTTTAAATTAGTTGTAAGTTATCTAGAAACAGCATGATTTTCTTTTTGAAGGTTGTTTTTGTTTAAGAACTGCCATCGTTATTTTACAGAGAAAGTTAAGAATCTGGAAATTTTAACACAGGATATAGGTCTCCTCTTTGCTTCTTCAACCAACTTTATTAACGTCTAGGTTAACAAACTATGGCTCCCTTTTCTAGCGCCATGTGCTCGCGGCGCCGCCTCTTGCTCCTCCCGCCGCCCTGAGTCACTGCCTGCGCAGCTCAGGTTGCCTGGCTCCCTGTGCTAGCCACCGATATTTGGCATTTGTACAACACAGCAGCCATCGACAACAAAGAACAGTCTGAACTTGATCAAGATTTGGATGATGTTGAAGAAGTAGAAGAAGAAGAAACTGCTGAAGAAATAAAAAATCAAAGCGCGTCAGCTGACTGTTCAAATGATGCAAAATCCTCAGATTCTTGCAGCCCTTCAAGAAAGACTCAATGGTCTGGTAGAAACACCAACAGGATACATTGAAAGAGTTATAAGACGAGTGAATGCTCTCAAAAACCTTCAAGTTAAATGTGCACAAATAGAAGCCAAATTCTATGAGGAAGTTCATAATCTTGAAAGAAAGGGTGCTGTTCTTTATCAGCCCCTGTTTGATAAGCAATGTGAGATCATTAATGCCATTTATGAACCTACAGAAGAATAACGTGAATGGAAACCAGATGACGAAGATGAAACTTCGGAGGAGCTAAAAGAAAAGGCCAAGATTGAAGATGAGAAAAAGGATAAAGAAAAAGAAGATCCCAAGGGAATTCCTGAGTTTTGGTTGTCCGTTTTTAAGAATGTTGACTTGCTCAGTGATGTGGTTCAGGAACATGATGAACCTATTCTGAAGCACTTGAAAGATATTAAAGTGAAGTTCTCAGATGCTGATCAACCTATAAGTTTTGTCTTAGAATTTCACAATGAATATTTCACAAATGAAGTGTTTACAAAGACATATAGGATGAGGTCAGAACCAGATTATTCTGATCCCTTTTCTTTTGATGGACCAGAAATTATGGGTTGTACAGGGTGCCAGATAGATTGGAAAAAAGGGAAGAACGTCACTTTGAAAACAATTAAGAAGAAGCAGAAACACAAGGGACATGGGACAGTTCTTACTGTGACCAAAACAGTTTCTGATGACTCTTTCTTTAATTTTTTTTGCCCCTCCTGAAGTTCCTGAGAGTGGAGATCTGGATGATGATTCTGAAACTATCCTCACTGCAGACTTTGAAATTGGTCACTTTTTACATGAGCGTGTAATCCAAAGGTCAGTGTTATACTTTACTGGAGAAGCTATTGAAGATGACGATGATTATGATGAAGAAGGTGAAGAAGCAGATGAGGAAGGGGAAGAAGAAGGAGATGACGAAAATGATCCAGGCTATAACTCAAAGAAGGATCAAAATCCAGCAAACTGCAAGCAGCAGTGAAGCAGGATGTATGTGGCCTTGAGGATAACCTACACTGATCTACCTTCTGCTTCCCTGGAAAGGATGAGTTTACATCATTTGACAAGCCCATTTCAAGTTTTTTGTTGTTTACTCATTTTTGTTTTTGCAGCCTAAAATAAAAATGTCATATAATTAAAAAAAAAAAAAAACTATGGTCCCTCCTCCTCCCTCTAGGGTATACACATCTATTAATCTAAAGTACGTTTTACTTTTCTGGTTCTTTACTGGAACTTGGAAATGGGGAGAAGAAAACCTGAATTTGTTTTAGATCTCTAGCCAAAGAAAAATAATTCATGCTAAAAATTAAATGATAACCTCTTTCATTAAGACTTTAGTCAGAGTTTCTACAGTTTTCCCTAAAGGATTCAGATATAAAAGAATATATTCTGTTTTTGAAAATTATATTTGAGACTATCTGCAAAGCCAATAGCACTGAAATTGAACGTTTGTTTTCTCAAAATAAGAAATACTGAATCAGTAACTAGTAATTCTCAACAAAAGCTCCATGTCCTACAAAAAGAACAGTTTTGCAAATTACTTACTTCAGGTCCTGGAGAAGGTCCTTTGCATTAAGCATGGTTATTAAAGAGGTGGTAGCAGCAGGAATTATGATAATGGGTGTTCGAGATCCTATAAAGAAAGAATTTTCAAGGTATCAAATAGGTTATTAAAAAGAATTATAGTTACTTTCCTAATTAAAAAGTTAAAGCCTGCAAATTTGTAATTTTCACTCTTTTGAACTAAGATATTTTAAGCAGCAATGATATTCAGACTAGTTAATGATCAAGACAGCTTGAGCACTAACCACTCAGAATGGACACCAAACACAAACATCTGCTACAACTGCATGAGAAGGCCATCAGTCCTGGTTTTGTAAGCAAGAGCTTCCTTTTTAAAACAAGTTTAGAGTCACATGCACAACCTTACCTTTCTTCTGATTTGGGGGAGGTCTGGCTTGAGAAACTGTAAGAAAGAAAAAAAAAAAACAAATATCTGAGTGTTATAAAAAATCACATTCTTATTTTCAAACTTACAAAGCAAATAAGTCCAAAAATATTTGTATTTACATATGACTCATTAAAAATTTTTTTAATGTACTGCAACTTTCTTAAATAATATGAAGCTATTTCTCTGCTTCAGAAAATCACTATAATGCCTCAGCAGTTCAACAATCAGGAGCTATAAGCAAAGTGGATATACAGCATTGCTAGGCACTTTGAATCTACATTCATAGATGTTAGGGTCCAGAAAAGGAGGCAAAAAATGATTTCTGAATTAATAGATTACTCTGTGATAAATATAAAAACACAGAGTTCTACAAGAGGATATAACACTGGGAGAAGGGCTGGGAGAGGGACATGTAATTAATCTCTGTGGAGGAAAAACAAAGATGGTACCCCAGTAACTAAGACCTAAAATACAATATTTATCTTTATCTCTCTTTTCAAATTTTGGGTTTTTTTTTATTAGCAATGAGTCATGTGAAGGTCTTTTTTCTGGAACTGCTCATATTATCAATAATTTTGTATATTATAAAAACATGAATATTCATATCTCTTCATTATTTATATATGCAATGGGCTTTATAATAAATAAAAACATTTGTTGGCATAATAATGGTAACATAGTCTAGTTCAAGATGAATTTTAAGATAGAAAGTGTTGCATGTTCAATTTTCAGTATTTATTCATACAATAAATTTTTACTGACTGCCTTCTATGTGCCATGTGCTGTACTAAAATCAATTTTTTAAATCACAAAAAATAAAAAGTCAACAATTTAAAATTATAATTCAACATCAGTTCTTAGACATACCACTTTTACAGGAAAGTACACACATCTTTGGAATATGTTCTATTTCAAAAGCAGTAAAATGCTACATTTTAACTAGTACTTTGTTCTCCTTTGAATAGCTATTTCATTGTGATAAAACATTATGGAGGCAGTAAAATGCTACATTTTAACTAGTACTTTGTACTCCTTTGTATAGCTATTCATTGTGATAAAACATGGAGGCAGTAAAATGTTACATTTTAACTAGTTCTTTGTACTCCTTTAGCTATTTGATTATGATAAAACATTATGGAGTCCAGAAGTATGATCTTGTAGCCACAGAAAGCAAAGATAAATACAAACACAAGTTCACATGCATATTTATCAAAGTGTTCTCATCTTTCTTTTTGCTGAGAAACAGATACTAAAACTTTCTTAAATTATTTTTAGAAACAGGACTCATGGATACATCAACATGTAGAGCAAGACACTACCATCTGCAGTATAATACAATCTCAATAATAAACACTTGGAATTTGACAGAGGGATAAAGCAAAGGTGGGATGGACAGAGAGATGTACAAACTGGAGACAGGAGTGGCTAGGAGAATGAGTAAGGAGAACAAAGCAATCTTTGACTGAAATATCAGATATAATAAGGAAGCCCATAATGGACTCAGGAATATAAAGAAAGATTCACTAAAATCAAGGCTGAGAAGACCAAGTTAGAAAAAGACAAAATATAAAAGCTCACATATTAAAAATAAACTTTAGATGTTTAGTAAAAAAATAAATAAATAACTACAATTAAGGACCAAGGCAGGGACACAATGATGAATATGCTAAGGACGAGCCTGATCTAAAGGCAGGAGGAGGGAAGAGTGGAGTAACGCTGAGCCCATGAGGAGCATGAAGGAAAGCAAGAGCCTGGAGTCGGAGCTGGACTCTGTCTCCATTCTGCCACTTTCCAGGCAATGACCACCCACCCCACCCCTCCGCCCCGCAGCACACAAATGAATGCCGCTCAGCGTCAGCTGTTCTCAGCCATAAAACAAAGACAGTCATTTCTACATCTTGATTCTGTTGTAAGACTCATAAGAACAACAAAGCAAGTTAAGTTCTTCTCCAGATCCTGGGCATATTTACTATTTACTGAACCTCTCGGCCATAGCTGATGCTAAGTGTACTGCAGCAGCCACGACCACTGCCTTCAGCAAGCACCGTAACTGACCACTGACAAGCTGAGAATAGGCAATTACTGTTGCTGTACTTGTTTCCAAATAGAATTCTATTCTCTCCTTAAGTATTTATTCAGAGCATATGTACAGGGCACTCTGCTAGGTTTTTATTTTTATAATGATAAATAAAACAAAAATAATCCCTGCCCTCAAAGACCGTTCAAGTAAAGGAGGGGAACCAGACCATAACAGAACAGGCAAATAAACACATAAAAACAAATCTGAATACACAATATTAAGGAACAAAATGAATGTACACTGATATTAGAACAAAATGAATGTACACTGATATTAAAGTGTCCTTTAGACAGAACGCTTAGAAAAAGTCTCTCAAAGGAAACGGCATTTCAGCTGAGATTTGAAGGAGCAAACTTGCAAAGAACAAGTGAAAGAACAGTCTAGATAAGAGGTAGGAATGTGGGCCAATGCCAAAGGCAGGAAGAAACTGTCGTGCTTATGGAACTGCAAACGTGCAGACAGGCAAAAGGAAGGGTGCAGGGCAGGAGGTTAAAAATATATGTAGGAGCCAACTCATGAAGGGCTTTCTAGGTGACGTTAAGCTTGTATTTAAATTCTGTTAGATAACCCTGTAACTTTTAAGCCAGAAAGTGACATAATTTGATTTTCACATTATACTTTTTGTAAGGGAAAAACAGTAATTTTAGTTAAGAGATCAAAGGGGGACAACAAAAAAAGGGGGGGGGAGTGGGACAACTGTGTAAGCAGCAAGCTCAGGATCATCACAATATTCTACAGTGGTGCCGCCCAAATTAAGTGTGGTTAAGGCAAGGGTAAACTTTCCAAGACCGACTGAATAACATGCAATAAAAATGAACAGCTAGAACACTGGCCATGCACCTGGATGCTGTTAACAGTATTGCACTCTCAACTCCTATCTGTATCTTGTTAGGGACCAGAAATAAACATGTCAGGGACTAATACTTCAAGATGCACTAGTCCAGAGAAATGATGGTAGCTTAGACTTGAGTTGTGGCAGTGGAGATAAAAAGAAAATAGATAAATACAGAATACAGAAAAGGTAAATTTGGCAAAACTCACTGGCATATTAGATGAGAAGAATAAGCAAATATGAAGAATAAAGAATAACTCAAGTTTTGGACTTAAGAAACAGAGTTGATAGTGGTATCATTTACTTGTGAAGAAGCAGGAGAATGTGAAGACTTCGTGGGGAAAATATCAAAGAAAAAAGGTTTTCAGCCAGTTTTAAGATAAAATTTGGCACATCCAAATGTTAAACATTTTTAATATAAGACACCAGTGGTAAGAAGAACTGGAGACACAAGCCTGAAAACCATCAGCACATTGATTTGAAACTATGGAATGAGGCAATCCACCTACATTCTGAAGTGCATGACTGAAGAGCATAAGAAATGTGTTTAAAATATACGACAAAGGGCTAACTCTCAGTCTCACGTGCAGATCTTAAGGCAGCAGATAAACTAGAGCTATAGGGTTATGGGCAGTCACCTACCTACATCAGAGTATCTGTGAGACAGAAGTAATGAATGAACGAGGGAGAAGTGACTTACGCATTGTGTACACCTTAGAAAGAGGCAGCAGGAGCAGGGATGTGTGCAGGAGATTTAGTCTGGCTAAAAATGAAATGACATTAAATTCCACTATGGAGCTTGTCAAACGCTTGTGCTTCTAAATTCACTGGAAAACACGTGTCTCTTGCTAGTTACACTCCCTAAATGAATGTTTAGAAATTAGGAATGATTGTAAACACTTTAAAATACTACATTTACCCAGGGACTTGCCTGGTAAAACTAGTGCAAAATATTTGATGAAAAAATAAAGAAGAAAGAAATAGTGAACAAAAATGGAATGCCATCCTTGAGTCCCTTCACTGAAGGCAAAAAGGATAGATGGTTCAGTCCCTAATTTCCTAATAATTCAAACTCTACCTAACAAACAACAGTATAGAGATCTATGCTGTCTCATGTATAATATGTTACACTGCCAGAAATATTGCGTTCTTTTTCTTTTCCATTTTAAAAAGATAATCCAGATGAACCTACCCTATATTACAAAATATCCCTTCAAAACTGGGTAGCACCCAAAAGGCAAATACATTTAATCTGCAAAACAAAAATACATGAATCAAGACAAAGATGACAAACTGCTAAGACCCACTCAAGTCAGTCTTATTGACTAGTGAGTATTAAAACTTATAATCCTTGCTTCTGGAATCATAGGTAGGGATTGCGGATCTATGGGGGTCAATTAGTGAGTGAAACGAGACCTCACATTGATGGGCATGAGAATATCTGTTATATTATGAGATATTCTCGAAGATTTATTTCAGTCATTTTAATCACCGGTGCACCTTGGCAGAACTGAAAAAGAATGACAGATTAGGTGAAAAGGCCCACAGCTCCCTGCTTCCCACGTGGCCTTCTCCAAGACTACAAACTAGCTGGGGGGACGCAGCCCCTTCCCCGCCCGTCTGTTCCACGGCACACGCACACAAGCTGGTCCACGCGGGTGTCAGCACCGCCCCTACCTCTTTCCTTTGTCTGCCATGTGAGTTTGAGAAAATGTGAAATGGAGACAAGTATTCATACACAGAATAGAACAGAGCTAGAATCCTCAGGTGGTGACTTTCTCCTTTTTATACCATTTCTGAATTTCTCATGCAATCTTCTTTAGACTAACAATCCTTCCCGTCCAAGGGAAAACAAAGAATTCTGCATCAATCATTCCACTGCCTCTACAATATTCCTCTCTTCCTTCCAGGCTGCATTCCTGGGGTCCATGTCAGCCTGACCATTCCTATTTCCCTGACTTTTTCTTCCTTCCTGTAAGGAGTTCCTTTAGCTCCTTCTTGTTTCTGGCACTGAGCACATGGAAGACATTCAAATAATATTTAACTGGATTTAATTGCTCTTCCTTGAACTCGCATACCAGCTTTTGGCATGGTCCTGTCTACTGAAAAATAGTCCCATAGTTCCGTCATCTGATATAAATTATATCCAGTGTGCTCCAAATTTAACAAAGATTTCAAACCAACCCAATGTCATTAAAAGAAAGAAAGAAATACTAGTGTGTCAAGATCCAGGTGGATCCAAGACACAATCAAAGAGTCTACAACACCATCCCAATATAACCCCTCTTGACATCACGCTTTTTATGTGCTTCCAAAAATCTGAACACTTATAATTACATAATTTTAGAATTAGCCTATGTGTGAACATACTATGAATAAAAAGATATCCAAATCTGCACTACTGACACTAACAAATTGAAAAGGAAGATCAACCAGTTAAATTCTTGACTGTGCCTTTTCAATTAATACCGTTTTCCTAATAGCCACTTTTAACAGCACTGATACTAGACTATGCTAAACACTAAAATAAAATGAACAAATGAACAGTAAATCAAACCCAAAACACTGAAAATGAATATAGTGTCTGTATCTACATGCATTTATAAAGATCAATCTCTTTAGGTATCAGGAAAAGGAAAGAAAATATTTTTAAAATAACTTCAGGGAACTCCCTGGTGGTCCAGTGGTTAGGACTCTGTGCTCTTACTGCTGAGGGCCTGGGTTCAATCCCTGGTCAGGGAACTAACATCCCACAGGCTGTGCAGTGCAACCAAAAAAATCAAAAGATTAAATTAAATAATTTCAATATTAGCCTTGTTTATTAATACATATATTTTTTAAATTATAGAACATAATATGCTCAATAATACAGATATCTGAAATCCTAAATATCAAAGCTGCTTATCAATCTATTAAAATTACGGTTCTATGTTTCCATAGGAAAAGACAAACATCACATCACATCCACCATACTATCATGGAACTCAAACAAGAAACTGATGAGAGAATGGGTATGTCATAAAGAGCTTTTTAAAACATTTTCCTAAAATCTTAAAAATATTTTCTTAAAAATTTTCTTTAACTCAACTATACCTATTTACTCAAGTAAATATGATACTAGTTTTGAAGTATTTTAAGTAAAATTTAATTCCTTCAAATCGTTACATAGTATCAGAAATGTCAGTCGTGATAATAGAAAAAAGCTAAAATTTTTCTATTTTTACCTGGCCTTGGTACAGGTTGTGCCGCAGGAGTTTGCGTCTTCCGGGCTGATGCACCTTCCTTTAAAAGAATAAAAATGGATGTGTTAAAATTCCCTTGCACAATAAACACTTTTGTTTAATTACTGCAAAAAAAATTCCATGTCTGTCTCTCCCACAGTCATGGAACATACTATGAGTTAAAACAAACAAGCACCTTATCTTTTATGTTTCTGGTTGTGAGTTGGTAAGAGAAATCTTTAGTTGAAAATATACTTAAATTGTTACTATTCATTAGTTATTTTAAGTACGTAAGATTTTTCAAATATTCAATGATTTACTTAATTGCTGACAATTTTAATATTCTCAGAAATATCATTACCAGTTTTAAAATCAAGTCAATCTTTTTACCCTTAAAGAATCTCAAAATGAATAAGTGATACATAATCTCACATTAGAAAGATGTAAACAGTGTTACTTTGAGTGCATCTTTAAAAAACACAAATATTTAAAATTAAACATCTTTAAAATATTCAGGGAAAATAATCCATTTACAAGCATGAGATTTGTTAAACTTAAGAGTGGTTGAAAATTTCTTAAAAGCTGAATAACAAATCTCAAGTAATTACAAAGCATGTAATATATATAAGGAAACAAGTTAAGGACTGAAGTACATCAATTATATACTCAAGAACAGACACCTCTGAAGTGCTTAACAGACTTCAAAAGTTGTCTATCTTTACTGCAATAGTTTCAATCATATTCACACTAAATTTTCTTTAAACATTAAAAATTAATGCTTTTAATTTTTATTAATTAAATAACAATAAATTATTATATATTTATTTATATATTATATGTAAATATAAAATATATATTTGTGTTATTTATAATTTATAAAAAATTTATTTATAAAAATAATAAAAAATTAAAACATTTTTTATAGAAAGCTACAAGTGTAAATTTCAAAACAGCTAGTAATTCATGAAGATTTTATTCTAGCTGTACTTAAATGAAGAAAATTTGATAAGTATCAGGAAAATTACACAAATCCATAATAAGAAAAATCACTACCACAACCACAGAAACATTTCTAAAGAAATCCTGCTAAACAATGTTCACTTTAATCATATTATATTTTCTTCATAATCTGAGATTTTAACATGGTAAAATGCACAGAGAATGCATTTCACTTGGAATACAGTAGGATTCCTGGCATTCAGTTTAAAGGTTTTTTTAATAATAAAAGGTTAAAAAAGAGGACTCCCTGGCAAGTCCTGTGGTTAAAGACTCTGCTTCCAATGCAAGGAACACAGGTTCCACCCCTGGGTGGGGGAACTAAGATTACAGAAGCCTCATGCATACCTTCCCCCTCCAAAAAGCTAAATTAAAAAAAAAGAAGCAGCAGAGGCAACTAGCAAAAACCCTTTGGGGGAAAAAAGCCCTTGAGGACAGCAGAACATCCTTTTCTGGTATTTTCACTACTATGCATTTAGTCACATACACTGATGTGATTGAGACTGAGCCACTTTGGATGCTGGCTCCATGAATGTGTTAACTTTGGAAAAATCTGTCAAGCTTACTGATGATATGGTCATTATAATACAAGCAAATTATATTCAAGTAAAATTTAAATGTAAAGAAAGTGAGTCACTATTAAGGTAGAGACCATATTCAACATTTAACTTCATTTAATGCACTGAAATTGTCTGATCTATATTTTTCTCTAAGTCCATGTTAGGGGACACAACTGCTTTTACTCATCTTTGTAAATCTAGTACCTAGAACACAACAGATGCTCAACAAACGTTGGTCATATTGAACTTAGTTCTAGAATTCTAAAAATCAGAAGCCAAGGGATAATCACTAAATAGAAACTAACCAAAGAGATTTTAGCTTTCTCTCCCACGTTCCTTTATAAGGAGGAATCAACTAGATATTATATAATAACAAGATTAAGTTTTAACTGTATTCCTTTTGAATTCTTACAAGTAAATACTGGGACCTCAGACAGTAAAGAATCCACCTGCAGTGTGGGAGACCTGGGTTTGATCCCTGGGTTGGGAAGATTCCCTGGAGGAGGGCATGACAACCCACTCCAGTATTCTTGCCTGGAGAACCCCCATGGAGAGGAGCCTGGCAGGCTACAGTCCATGGGGTCACAAAGAGTTTGGACACAACTGAGCGACAAAGCACAGCACACACACGTAAATTGGGTCAGTTTAAGTACACAGAGAAGGAAGAAAAATGAAGAAAATGAGTCAGAGAACAATGAGCACGCACATATGCAGGCCTCCTTCTGTCTACATTTGACTAGAAGGTTGGCTAGTCCTGGGCTCAGTCTATAGAGAGTTCTCTGTGTTTTATCAATGGGAGTCAGCTAGTCATAAGCCTGTAAAGAGTTAAGTCTAAAATTACAGATAATGGTGTCTCGTGACTCATGGAGAAAACCCATCTGCAGAATGATATAAAGAAGTTACCAGCATGCAAGAAGAGACATGGAATACAATATCCCTCCTAACACCTATCTAGTTCCAGTGGCCTGTAAGACCTCTTCTTGCGCTAATCCTTGGAATCTTCTTGATTCCAAGAGCCACTAAAATCCCTCATCTCATTCTATGCAACCCACACACTTTTTTGTCTTCCTTACTGGAGCAGAATCTGTTAACTGCAACCAGAAGAGTTTTATCTAATTTTGTCTTCTCAAATTCACTGAAAATTTTGAGTTGTCAGTCACTATAGTACAACTTTGCTTAATTTTGGATAAGTAAACACAAATAAGTTCAAACGCACACACATATATAGCCATGCCACTTCAGTAGGCTGTGAGCTCCTTGAAATGAAAACAGGGAAGAACTCTGCTAATCATATGGTTAGTTCACAGCCATTTCAAGGACTCCCTAACCAATACAAGAGCAGCTAAAAGCTCATATTACTCTGATCTGCATTAGTTTGTATGTCACTACATAAAGGACCTCAGAAACCATATAACCTAATTCTAGCACCTCTTAAAGATGAAGAAAGAGATGTAAAATAGCTTTTCGAAGGCTACAAAGAGGTTTATCTGGCATATGTTAAGAAACTGAAATAGAAGGAAAACAAAGAATAAAAGAAACAAAATGAAGAAATAATAATTGGCAGTAATATGGAGCAGACTGACAACTCTGTATTTTTAAAGATATTTGGACTGGGGGAAAAATGCTATTTAGCTGGGGGAAGAAAAGTATCAGCACAAAACAATTGAAAGAGCTGATGAGTTGTGCTAACTGGAGAGGAAGACCTGCTTTCTTTCAAAAAGTCAGAATCATTATAATTTCACCAAGACTGGAGACATTCTGGAAAAGAAGTAACTGGCAAAAAGGGATGGTGGAAACAGTGACAGAATCGTTATCTGCAAAACATAACACAACCAAACAAGGTAACTGTTTACAATCCCTCCTTGCTTTCTTTTAGCAAGTGAAGAGAATCTAGAATCTTCTGGTATTGGGAGAAAGAATACTGGTATCCGCCACTTAAACAAGTAGAAAATAACACCATAATACAAAATATTGTAAGAAAAAAATTTGTAACAAGTATCAGTATGAAAAATATACTATATTTAATTCTGAAAAATACTGTTTATATAAAAATTAATAAGATACTGAAATTTCTTAATGACGAAAACATATGGACTATATATATACACACAGATTCTAGTTGATAATCTACCTCTTTGACTACTGTATTTATGAGACAAAAAGTAACATTTTTTAAAAGTAAATCAATATTAATTGTACACTTGCATGTTTTGTCTTTTTAAAAAGTAACTTATTCCCACGAAATCTGTATTTGATATTCAGAACTCACAAATATTAGGATTTTTTTAAAGCATCTGAATTTCTTAAGTTCCAGAATGAGTCTTTAAGAAAATCATTTTGGAAAAACTAGGTACAAAAAGGAAACTGCAACCCTGAATCATAAACAGGCTGAAAAGCACTAAAGGTTTCAGGAGCAAAAAACTTGATACAAATTTTAAGTACAACTTAATTTTTGTTTTTTAGACGAGTCATAACCTGGAGTGCATGTATACAATGCTTGCTAACACAGAAAGCAGTTGACACATTTCTAAAATCCAGTACAGTGTACCTACACAGGCACACCTCAGAGATGTTGCTGGTTTGGCTCCACACTACTGCAACAAAGCTAGTATCTCAATAAAGTGCGCCACACAGTTTTTTTTTGTTTCCCAGTGCATATAAAAGTTACCTTCACACTATACTGTAGTCTACACAACTAATCAACTATCTCTGCAAAACTGCAGGATACAAAATCAAATCACAAACATCCACAGCATCTCTATACACTACCAATCAGTAATTTAAAAAGGAAATTAGGAAAACAATTCCATTTGGAATAGCATTTAAAAATCAAATACTCAAGAATAAATTTAATCAAAAAGTTAAAAAAAAACTGTATGCTGAAAACTTTAGACTGATGCTGAAAGAAATTAAAGCCATAAACAAATGGAAAGACATCTATGTTCATGGACTGCTAAGATTAATAGCATTAAGATTTCAAAATTACCGAATGCAATCTATAGATGCAATGCAATCCCTTTCAAAATCCCAAAGGTGTTTTTGCAGAAAGAAAAACTTATCCTAGAACTGATGTGGAATTTCAAGCAGCCCCAAAGAACCAAACTAATTCTGAAAAAGAACAAAGTTGGAGGACTAAAACTTCCAGATTTTAAAACTTGTAGGTACAGTAATAAAAATACTGTAGCAGGAAAAGAAGGCAGATCCACAGACCAACGGAGTAAGATAGCCCAGAAATAAACTTTTACATACATGGCAAATTGATTTTTGACACAGGAGTTAAGACCATGAATTGGGAAAGGATAGTCTTCAACAAACGGTGCTAGGAAAAATGGATATGCACATGCAAAAGAATGAAGCTGGACCACTATAACTCAAAGTGGATCAGAAGCCTAAATTTAGGAGATACAACTTTGAAAACAAATTTAAAAACCTACAGATAAAAAATCAAAGAGTAAAAGCTTCATGACATTAGATTTGACATCAGTTTCATGGATATCTGAAAGTA